CCTTTTCCTCTCCAGAGAAAACAAGTTTAGAGATTTTAGTCTCTCTTCGTAAGACAATCCCACCATCCCAGGTATCATCCTAGTAGCTCTTCTCTGAACTTCATCCGACAATTCAATGTCCTTTTCTGAGGAAGGGAGCCTAAAAGTGTACACAGTGCTCTAAATGAGACCTTACAAGTGATCTATACAGTGAAACATAATATCCCTTGTATTTAATATTTCTATAGATGCTACTCAAAATCTTATTAGCCCTATTGCTAGCTACAATACACTGTTTAGATGACTTAAGTGAATTTTCGATCACAACACCAAGATCTTTTTCTTCAACCAAGTATTTAATGTATACCCATTTAAATTGTAACAATAATTTGAATTGTGAAAACCTACATGCATCACCTTACATTAGGTTTTAAACGGATTAATAAATCTTCAATCGTGGTTTAAGTTTCAGAAATATGTGTAATTCAGAGCTTATAGGAAGAAAATAGTAGAAATACAAATAACATATTAGTCAACAAATAAAGACACAGAAAACTGACAATTGTCGTTTGTTTTTAAATGGTTTTTGCTATTTATTTGGTTTTTAACTCAGTCAACAGATGGCACAGCAAACTAATGAGCGCATGCTCTAACTATGTGGTACGTAAGTGCGCAAGTTTCTGTAAATAACTTTCAAAAAGAGATAATTACTGTGCTTTTAAACTATCATAATATAATAAAAATTTAACCTTAACTAAGATCTTTTATTTGATCTATGAATAATTCCAACAACTTGGAGCAATTTTCCTAACAAATCTATATCAAACATTGTATGAGAAACTGCAGGAAATTGTTTGTGTGTATGGTAGATTTGCGCCCTCATCTGAATTCGCAGCAAAGCATGTTGGGATTTATTTACTTTTTATTGTCTCGTAGTTTATATGTTCATGAAATGGGTAAATTTTCTAGTCGGGCTTAGGGGAAAGGAGAATTATGTTGTGTCACAAGATTAAAGTATTAAATATGTATTGTTTCATAACATAAAATATTTGAAGGGTAATTATTTCCCAGAGTGAATATTAAAGTTTTTAAATGGTTTGAGCGTATCATATTTTAAGTCGTTAAGGTTTAGTAAACGTAAGTATAACTTATATTTATAAGATTTACGTTTTACTTTTCTACAAATTCTAGTTCTGTATGTTGCGTTACTTAAGTTATGGTGATAGGGCTACCTGGCGTGTCCTATTGTCTCATTTTCAGTTGTTTAAGAACTATACGTTTACTACGTAAACAACCAGGCCTGTTTCTGGAATGTAGAGAGTTTTATTGTGCAATGTTGATAATGTCCTATTTATCTTATTCTGTATTTGTTATGATTTTTTATAATGCTCCCATCTGGTTTAAACATTAGTAATATCACCAGGAAAGTTCGTAATAATTTTATATTATAAAGTTACCAATTAAAATTTATGAAGATTTTAACATTGAAAATTTAATATTAAACAGTATAATCAATAACAATGAAAATAAAATTGTGACTCTTAAGTGATTTAATGTTAAATCATAGAATCGACAAGTTAAAATTAGGTGGCTCTCATTTATGAATTAAAGTTCTTTTTAAATTTTGATTTTAGGCCTACCATCTTTAGTTTGCCATGTCAAATACTGATTATCTTGTGCGCGTAAAGGAAGAACCAAGTACTTCGAGATCATCAGTATGTTTTGTGTGTGGTAAAGATGGAGTTGATCGTAGTCTCTATTCTAAACCAAGACAGCAAGGACCTTTTTTTCCATTTCTTGAGCACCATCCCCCTCCTCAAGGAGCCAATCCAATTGGACCTGATGGTATTGTGTCTGCTTGTTTATTGTGTTATTCTTTTTTGACACAACAGTGGGAAGCCTATGAAACAAAGAGAATTTCAAACAGTAAAAGGATGTATTGGCTTAAAAGATTTGATAATGAACCATTTGCTGGTTTGGAACAAGGCATGCATGTAGAATATGCTGGAAACTTTTTTGACCTCGGCTCAAAAACTCCACCCATAAATAGTTTGAAACTTGATTTTACAGAACAGTTACCCAGTGATATGTCTCATGTGACAGATATTGTAAATGACAATAAAGTGAAAAGATCGTCTGAAATAGACCATGGAATTATCTCGGAAGATGACAGAGCGCTTGACCTCAGTGTCTCAGATCGATTTTGCAGAAACTCTGAAGTTACACTGTCAAAACTGTCAGCAGAAAACAGTAATATTAATGTGTGTTTTGTCTGTGGAGAGTGTTGTTCTAATGGTACTTTAATTGATGTTTTTACTAAACCTATTTCAAATTGTCCATTTTTTCCTAGCTTAGCACAACATAGAGCACCCTTAGGTGCAAAACCAATAGATTCATCAGGAAAGATTGAAGTATGTAAAGCTTGTCACCAACACTTACTTCAACAGTGGGACTTGTATCAACTTTATAATGTTAATCATGCTGAAAAAAATCATCAAGTAAAGAAATCTACATTTTCTGGTAGTCATCTTGTTTCACAGAAACGTGCTACTTCAAGAGATTCCTCTAATTCTTTTGTGGACCAGCAAGAATTCACTTGCTTTCTTTGTGGTTTTCGTAATATATCGGAAGAGATTCAAGTTGTGTTTTCATGTCCAACAAATAACAAAGAACCATATTTCACATTTCTTAGGAAAATCAGACCTTCTCTTGGTGCCTCACCATTATCAAATGATGGAGCAGCTCTTATTTGTTCCTGCTGTTACAGAAAACTGTACTGTCAATTTCAGGGCTATGAAAGGTCCAGAGTTCCAGAAGAGAAACGATTGTACAAGATTACGAGTGATGCTCCAGTTGAGTTAACTAGTGTTTTAAAACTTCATTTAACAGGAGCTTTTAAACCTGGTTCTATGCCCTCTTTCTCAGGTTGCTATTTATGTGGCAAATCTATGCAAGTAGATAAACTAATATTTCTGAACACTAAGCCTCAAACTGGAGCCATGTTTTTTTCATTTATTAAAGATTTGCCCAGACCAGTTGCAGCAAAACCTCTCGACTCTGAAGGGAGAATTCTTGTGTGTGTTGAGTGCCAAACTTTTATGAAAACCCAATGGGAAGCATTTGAAGCTGTTAGAATGCCAAATGAAAAAAGACAATATAAAATACCTTTTACAAAAACTGTAAAACTTGAAAGTTCATTAACGTCATGTGGTTCATTTCATGACACTTCATCACAGGTCTCTAACCCCCAAGTTCAAATTTCTCTCCCAGACAGATATGTTCACAATAAAAATGCAAGCTTAACCCAAAATGAAGTGCTGTTAACTACATTTAATCCTGTAACCACAACTCACACATTACCACAGTTAGCATACCAAGATGCAGGTTATGGACCAAGCACCAGTTCTTTCACAAATAAGTCAAAATTCAGGTTAGATGATGTAGTAACACCAGATAAAACCCACCTGAGTAGAAGAATTACTGACCCTTTAGAAGGTTGTTTTACCAAGCAGCCCCTGCTATTTGCTGCTGTGTGTTTTGTATGTGGAGAATATTCTTCAGCAACTCAAACCTATTCGTTATGGGCACATCCAAACCAAGAAGAGACAGCTTTTTTTCCATTTCTGTTGAAGCATACACCTCCTAATGGAAGTGAGCCTCTTAAAGAAGATAGCAACTGTCTTGTTTGTACTTTTTGTTACCACTCATTGACAGCTCAGTGGATCGCTTATGAAACTTCTCCTTACCCTGAAGATGGCAACCCCTGGCAACGTCAGTACAATACTTACCATTATGTGTGTTTTATATGTGGGATCACAACTTACAGGAAGCGCACACGTTCCATATCTGTGGAAGATTTCCCTTTTCTCATTGAACATCCCAGGCCAGCTGGGTCTCTAGCAATAAATAGAGGGGAAAGTGTTATCACCTGTCTGACATGCTTTGAGTCTTTAATGTTCCAGTGGAAGGACTTTGAACGCATGAAAGTCCCTGTTGAGCTTCGCAAATATAACTGGATTGTTCTTCCTCCACCACCTGAGGATGATAGCTTCCAAGCTAATCAAGAGACAGTAAGTTTTTCTATATTAAAGATTGGAATATAATGTAGATTTATATGTTTTAAGTGTTTTAGTCAGAATGATTTTAGTATGGAGAGTGGGTGACCACAGTTGAATAGCTTTCTGTTAATATAAGTATGAATAAGTTGGTGGAAGGTTATTCGACTCATCGAAGACATCCATCACTCGCCAAAACAACTAAGTTTTTGTTTAGGGGAAGGTTTATCTGGAGAAGGCTGAAACAAAGTAGAAATGTTTCCGGAACGATGTTTGCCTGCTGATTTGAAGATGATCTTTTGAACTACCATCACATGTCAACACCATGTTTGACCTACATTAGTAGTTCAAAATGTCACCATCAACTCAAAAGGCAGATATAGTTCATAAAAGTTTTCAATCCAGCCAACTGAAATATCAAATTCCATTAGGTTCTGATCAGAGAAAGCTACTGACTTAGAGCAAAACAAAAAAAATCAATCAGATAAAGGTATAGCCTAAATGCCTAATTGCACATACTGAACTATTAAGCAAGCCATTCCCCAATTTATAACTAATAAAATCTGCTTCTAGGTTTCTATAGCTTGAACCTATTACTACTTAAACTTAAGCTCATATTTTCACACCTTTATTTTCATCTTTAAACAGATTACCATAGCATTGTTAAACTCCTAATAATTTGAAACACATGGATCAAGCTATGCATATGTCTAGTCCTCCCATTTCCTTGTGGAAACAAGTCCACAATTTGATGCGTCTGTTTTTGACAGATTTTTTTCAACCTTTTGTTAGGAGACTGACGTTCTAAATGAGGTATCGCAGAACCTTAACCTTCTTGTTTTTAAATTCATAACTTCTACTTACTTTTTTCATCACAGCTAAGAACTCAACTTGTTTGTTTTTATGTCACAAGGTAATTACAGGGATTTGGAGTTCATATATATATATCACTCAATGCCTAGGACATCAAGATTTAGCATTATAGTTTTCTTGTTGGACAAGCCTTATTTTTTCTTGGAAATTCAGAATTGCAGGAGTTTGGCACATACACATTAATGAAAAATGTGTATCTTTAAACTGCAAATCAAAACTATATACATAAATATGCATATCCCTTTAATTTATAAATCCTTAATAACACACAGTAACAAACAATTAAATTAATGCAAAAGTATTATTACTTTTGGCTTCAGTAGTAGCCCAGTGAAATTTGAGTGCAAGCTCTAGGAAGGATATATAAATTAATAGAAATTACAAAAGCTTCAAACTGTTAAATGTTAAATTTATATATTAAACACCATTTTAGTTACATGGCAGAATTAAGGTAAACCATGACTTCTTTATTAGTTTGTGTGCAGGGTATTATACATGCTAGGCTTATATGCAAAGCTTAGATGCAAAACATGGTATAATCCATTCCCAACAAAAATTATCTGCCAATGGCATTATAATGAGTGTACTTGCTATTAAAAGTTATATTCCAGTTTTTTGTGGGATGCAGAAGGAATGAGTAAATTTTTGTTCTATTTTGATCCTCGGGCAAGGTTTTTGTTTTGTTTTTTCTTCAAATTACAAACTTATGCATTAATTTGAGGCATATTTCTAGAAATCATGTCTGGCAGTTAACACATTTATCTTTGGAAAAATAATATGTGAAGAATAAAGCTAAATATTTTAGGATAATGAAATTGTTTGTGCATGTGTACAGTATTCTACAATTTGTAAATTACATGTTTACATTCATACTACAATATATGGTAATATAATAGCATGAGTACTTGAGCATTATTATTATTATCATATTTATTAAAATGTTTGCAAGAACAGTATGTTTTCTTTTTGTTGTAATTATCCAGTATCTTTCTTTCTTTTGGAATTATGTGAAAGAGGTGAAAGGTATTTTCTCCTGAGTGGGCCTTACCAGAAACCCTGTTGCTCTACCTACTGAGCTTTATGTGCAGGAGTTTTTCAGCCCAAAGTGCAACTCTATACATTTCTTATTATGCTATGTTTAAATACTAATGTAAAACAACTTTGTGTTCAATAATCCTGATAAATTAATGAATACTCTACTTCCCATTCCATGATATAGGAAGATATCCAATGTTTGGAGATGACATTTGTTCTCCTTGCAACATTTTAAATTACCAAGTACTTTTTGTGTACAGGTGTATATATTTTGGAATGTTCTTAGTAAGTTTACATGCATGCAGGGATTGAAATTAGCACCCATCTACTGACCACATGTGGGTTGATTTGGTTTAGGGTGGTTACATGTCATATACTAACCATCTGTGTGGGCACATCCTCTTTCTGCTTGTTTAAATTATTTTATTCACATCAATGTTAAGCTATACAGAAAAGTTTACAGTGTCAGCCTAGTGGTTATACAGTTGTTGCAATATGTTATGTGGAGTTGTTTCCTTTCTTTAATATTGTTATGTATGTTGAGACAGATCTTATAACTCAACATTTTCAGTGAGCAGCCATTGAATACTACACTTGGCCAGTGGAATGTCTCTTCAACTGGTAGATTCCTCTAGCATTACCTCAGCTAAACGATTCCTGGAAAAGTTGAATTAAACCCCTGCTTACAAATTTAAAATTTAAAAAAGACAGGCTAGAGTCTAGTCATAACAGATTTTTTTTTTCTATATATAAGGCAATTGACTTATGTAATGAGTTGTTATCAGTAGTAGTATTGGCCAGCACTTTACATATACATATGTATAATTTAAGGACAACATGGGGCCTGTTGGTTGTTGGTTCATCTAGGTCAGCTCATCCACTAAAGTAAAAGTAAAATACTCAAAGCCAGCTCTTATCACTTATCAAAACCTTCCTTTGAACACTTTTAAATTAACTGCATCTACACACAAAAGCAACCTCTTCCAAAAGCCAACCACCCTGTTAGAAGAATATAACTGTATTAGCTGAAGATCACTCCTACTTTGCCAAAATTTATATTTGTATCCCCTTACCATTTTCATCATTAAATATGGAAAAAGATGATGCATCAGCACCCAATTCCATTTACAATCTTAAACACCTCAGTTTTAGTGATCTTAACCTATCCTCGTATGACAACCTTTCCATCCAAGGTATCATTCTACTAGTCCTTCTTTGAAACTTTTCCAATGATTCAATGTCCTTTCTATGTTAAGATGCCCCAGTCTAAACACTACTCCAAATATGGTCTAACCAATGACCTGTACAATGACATTATTACTTCTTTTGTCTTCTATTCAGTATTTCTGTAGGTACAGCCTAATATGTTATTTTTCCCTACCACTAGCAACAGTATATTGTTTGGATGGTTTAAGACACCGATTAACCTGAACATCAAGATCTTTTTCTACCATAACACTATTAAGGCTATTCCCATCAAAATTATATATACTCATAATTCAAATTGTGATAGCTCACATGCATTTATTAGTTAAAAGCCATCTGTCATTTATTCACCCAACTCATCAAATAAACCAAATCATTTTGTAAAGCAGCAGCAGCATTCTTCTTACAGCCAGTAGTACACCTTTTCATCACACCTTATTGAAACTAAGCACCACTTTGATCTGGAAAAAAACTACAAAATCTTACTACATATCTGTGAAAAAGGTAAAAAACTAAATAACCTGGAAATTTTAGAAATAAATAGAAATCTTAAAAACAAATCCATAAAAAGTTCTAAATGACCAAACCAACTTAAGCTCCTCCCCACTTCTCACCACTTGTCTCAAGGTGAATGTCAAGGTTACTTCCTGTTCTTTGGTTAAAAATATATAAACCTGTTTACAACCATTTCATTCTGTACCTGATGATACCTTTACTGGTGAAACCATGGTCATTAATAAATGAAGTATTTGTGAAACGTACAATTTTCTTTGTTTTTTTCCTTAGTGAAATCATGCTCTCTCCGACAAAATTGTAAACTTTGTAAAATGACTTTGCAAGTCATCTTATATCAAACTTTAAAAAATGTTTCCTACAACTGATGTAAGACTAATAGGTATGTAATTACAGGGACAGTTTTTTCACCTCCTTTGAAAAGAGGAGTAACATTAGCCAACTTTCAATCTTTTTGCACCTGCCTACTATTCAAGGATTTAGAAAAAATAGTAGCAAGTGGCTTACATATCCAATCCTTAACTTCCTTCAAAACATTTGGGCAAATATTTTTGGCCCAGAAGATTTATTATTATTTAAACTTCTCTTTTTTTTTTTCGTAACAAGCTCAGAGTCAGTGTGATTGCCTTGTTCAATCTTGTTTCCATCTATCAACTGTTCAGGATGAGGAACATTGCTTAAATCTTCATTAGTGAAATTCGAAGAAAAAGTAGAATTCAGTAACCCAGCCATCCCATAACCATCAGTTATTATCCTTCTGGTATCATCTCAAGGGTCCTTCTCCCATCCTGACATTTTGTTTACACTTAATGTATTTAAAGAAATCCATGCTTTTTTCATAGTTTTTGATTTCATAATTTCTCATTTGACCAACTCTCTTGATCTTTATTTCTCCAAATCTCCCATTGTTGCAGTCAATTTAATTTTTTTATTCTATCCTTTAAACCTTTTGTGAGTCATCCTGGTTTATTACTTGCAGCCTCCCATTTTTTTCTTATGAGAACATTCTGATATTGAATATTTAAGAATTTTCCACATTTGATCAGCATCTCCAATTAATTTAGTTTTTCCCAATTCGTAATAGATAGTTCTTGTCTAATCCCTTCAAGGTGTTTAAGAAAGCAACTTATGCCCAATAGTGTGCAAGGCTTTGAAGGGCCAAGTGTTGTTCATACATTATGTATGTTCATGTCACGAAGGAACCCTAAACACTAAAAGTAACAATGTACACTCGAAGTGCAGTTCCTGGTGCTACTGAAAAACTGAGATTAGATAAATAGACATGAAGAAATATTTTCTTATCATTTCTCAACCAGTTATTTTTTTTGCAGAATAATAATATTAGTTTGAATTTAAGTAGTCATCCTGATAGTACAGGAATCATGATG